ACATCTACTGTTATAGAACATCGTTCCTGCTACCAAATTTACTCGAACATCGCCTTCATCGCCTTTGAAAGAACAGCCACAGGCTCGCTGTACTCGAACAATTTCACTACCGCACCAACCTGATCGCAGTGCTCGAAAATTAGTTGAGCGCATGCGGAAATGGAATGAAAGTGAGCCTCTTATGACTTATTGCATTTCAGCGCTTTTAAGGTTTAAAGAACGATTCTCCCTCGTCTTCGTCATTGTCTTGTTCATCCTTCCACAGACTAATTTCTGTTGTCTGAAGGGTCTGGTGTTTGCTCGCAATTTATTTGTGTTACTAAAGCTATTTTTTAGTGAACTGCCCTTCTAAATTCGTGCCTGGATTCATGCCGTTGAGGGACGAGTCTAAAGTTTCTAAACCTCATCAAACGACGCCAAAGAGTCGGAAGCATGAGACATGGACGATAGACTACTTTACTAAGGAACCCTTCGTGTTTGACAGAGTATGTTCAAGTCAGTTGTAAAGATACGATATGAAAGCCGTTGTTTTCCAGGTAGAAATCTCTACAGATAAGTCGCATCCTTTCAAAGAGAACATTAGAGTAATAGAGAGACCACGACAACGGACTTGCTCGTCACCCACATTTGAAGACTGGGAGCGAGTGCAACACGTAATTTTAGTCTATTTTTTGCGTTTACATGCACAATTCTGGGTGTTTTGTTGATCTCTCGATTTACTTCGAATACATTGCTTCGTCAAAAAAGTTCTGTAGGGTTCACGCGATCACTATGCTGTTCCTAATCCGTCCTCACCATCAATGAATTGTGGTAACGTAGTACAATTTCACGCAGATGCCCATACTACATCAAAGAGGAAAGATGCGGTCACACCTTCCCACAACGATGGTTAGCTCTTTTGCTAACGTGAATTTTTCTTCATTATAAGTTTGAGAATAACCTCATGACTGTGCTGAGCGCGTATATCGCAGTGGTTGGCGCTCTGTACGATATACATAATTTTCTTATTTTCACTGTACAACATTGCAATCAAGGTCTAGAAATGGTTATAGAACTTCGCTTCTGCCCAAGAAGATGCCCTGCTGTTATCCGTTACTAAGAGATAAAGGATAAAGTCTTCGCCGTCAATCAATCCTTTGTGGGATGCGGCACGCATTCTACTTCCATTCAGAATCGTAGTGGCTTATTGAATGCGATGTGGCCTATACAATGACTTGCGGGGCCAGCCGATGTACAAGTCAGTGTTTTATCCTCCCAGACGAATCTGGTACCAATTTCCTGACTCCGGAGGGTGCAACGCCTGTTTGGCCTGGGCAGGGGCCGATCCGGGGTATGATCACCGTGGTTAGCGTGCCACTTGCCACTTCACCACCTCCGCCTTTTCGTTCGTTACTAATCCTGGGAACACCGCAAACTGCAACACTTTCACGACTTTCAAGGTATTCGATTTGAGTGAACAGGTTGCGACTTTGTCGAAACTTTTGACAATGATCAAGTGCTTCGATCAGCAAATTGATCTTGACATACCTGCGGGACATCTAATGCTGTCAAACAGATTTTTTTCATTCGAGTTTAGGTTATTCGTTAACTAGTCTTATAGTAGTTTTTTTATCTGACTGTGTAACAACAATGTGAAACTTCAAAAGTTTATTCCAAAAGACAGCAGCAGTCTCAAAAGTTTTAAATATCTTATCTTGCTTATTATTGCCGATTATTTATTTTGGGACAACTGGCCTGAAGGTGCTAAGCATCGAAATATCGCAAACTTTTGGAGTTTCACATTGTTGTTACACACTCAGATAAGAAATGAGACTCCGGGACAGCACCATGCTCCGAAGTAGTTTTTTGTTAGAAATACTCTAAAAGTGTTGAATGAAGAGTTTGGAAGCTGTTCATCTAACTCTGATTATTATGTCAGGTCAACTGAACCAAACCACACCTGGAAACCTAGTAAGTCCCGATGATGTTTTCTATACACCGATGACCCATATCCGTCCTTCACAGCGAGAGCAAAGGTATTGCCTTGGAAAACATGGTATGTTTTGATCATGTCTTCTACCATATTACTTCAGCAGTGATTCGAATGCTTATCGTTCGCTGAATACGCTCCAGTTCACGCCACCGGTTAGCCGACCGCAGTTTTCACTGATAGCTGGCAAAGGTTCGGTCTGTTCAGCATTTTCAGCAGCTTTTACTTGCTTCTCAATATGTTATTCGATTTCAGAAAGCGTGTCGGCAGTTCATTCACCATTCGATCGAACTGACTCCTTCAGAAAGAAAACAGAAGCACAGCTAGCTGCGATCGATAAAGTATCCAGTAAGATAGACA